GGAGGCTGAGGCAGTAGGATCGCTTGAGCCCAGGAGTTTGAGGTTGCTGTGAGCTAGGCTGACGCCACAGCACTCTAGCCCGGGCAACACAGTGAGACTGTGTCTCAAAAAAAAAAAAAATAAATTTTGCTATACACAATAGAACACCATATAGCAACGAGAATAAACAAACTGCAACTACATACAATAATGGAGATGACTCTCACAAACATAGGCTGAGTACAAAAGCCAGACATAAAAGACTACATATTGTATGCTTCCATTTATGTAAGTAGACAAAAAGAATATATTCTGTTAGAAGTTGGTGGTTTCCTTGGGTGGGTGGGGATATGCATAGTAACTTACAGAGGGCATATCAGGGATTCTGGAGTAATGATAATGTTTTGTTTCTTGGTCTCGATGTTAGTTAAGTGGGTGCTCTCAGTTTATGAAAACTCACTGGAATAAACACTTAGGATAGAAATATTTCTGTATATGTCCTATAATATATTAAAATTTTTAAATAGACAATGAAAAATACAGTAATCACTATCTACTGCTTACAGAAAGCTCTGAGACCAGCTCTCTTTAGTTAAGAAAGAGAGATTACTAAATATTAAAATGGTATACTGGCACCAAACCAAACCTCTTTTTAACTAACTAAAAAGGGAATAATTTTTTCAGCATGCAATTCAATATTCTTTAATCTTCAACCTAAAATCATCAGGAGTTTCATAGTTGTCCAAATCTCACATTTTGGGAAACTCCAATGTAAACTCAATAAAGACCATGAGCTTTCTGTTAGTACACAGATCATCCAAAAACAATTATAACTTTGTCTTTTCAAATCCTGGGAATATATTCTTATCTGCTTCATTAGACTAAGCATTCTAATTTTTAAACAGCATATTTACAAAGCACTCTATTCTTCAAACATTTATCAAGCATCTGCGATATGCCAAGAACTATGTAGATTTTATTACCTAATTTTAAAAATATATACTTTAGGTCAGGCATGATGGCTCACACCTATAATCCCAGCACTTTGGGAACCCGAGACGGGAGGAACACTGGAGGCCCAGGAATTCGAGACCAGCCTGAGCAACATAGCAAGAGCTGGTCGCCACAAAAAAATAGAAAAATGAGCTGGACGTGGTGGTGTGTGCCTGTAGTCTCAGCTACTTGGGAGGCTAAGGCAGGAGGACCACTACAGGCCAGGAGTTTGAGGTTGCAGTGAGCTATA